TGAATCACAAGGGGTGATTTAGGATCTTTAAGGTTAGAACCTTGTAAGAAATTAGGAATTAGAAAGAAGGTGGAAGGAAAGAATCACTCTTCCCAAGGAAGGCAACACACAAGAGATGTGAAAGTCCTTTGATACAGCCAAAAATTCTTGAATCACTCAAGAATTTAGGAGAATCACTCTCACTAAGATAAAAGAGATAAACTCTAATATTTCCAAAAATAAAACTCAACTTGTTATTTCTGATAAAAATGGTTCAGTTTATAAAGAAGCTTTGCCATCAGAGTTACAAATATTCATTAAAGGAAAATAAACGTTAATAATGATTTATTAACTTAGGAATTGAAAACTACTTAGTGATTGATTGTAATTGAAATTGTGACATTCAAAAGTCAATAAGCTATGCACCCTCTTGGTCTCTCAAAGACTGATAACTAAATTTTCAATTGAACTCTTATTACAACTTGCAATAAAACTAAACTAAAACTCATTAATTGATTAATCCAAAACACAATTTGGTCAACCAACAATACTTGTTGAAGAACTTTATTTGCTTCTTTTGCTCTAATCCTTATCATAGGTCATGTTCACGTAGAGAGGAGTGGAGGGAATTTATGTGCATGCATGCAATTGAATGATGATTATGATTGTACTGGACATGAGGAAAAATGATTGTTGCAATTGCATGGATGATGATATAGTAAATGGGAAAGATTCTTTCCCTCCATTTCATAATGATAATTTTAAATGATGATTAAGCAGACAGTGTATGTGATTATTTTTTTACTTGATGGCAAAATTGTAATTGTTATTAGAGATATGGAAAAAAAAAAAATATAAGGACAAAAAAAGTTAACACGTTACAGACTAGAAACAATAAATTGAGAAAGTTGATATCTTATCAAATAGTTAAATGAATAATTTTTGGATAATACATTGCTACGTTATAAGTTGGAATATAGAAACTCGGTGGATAATATCAAGTTATTTATCTTCAACTCTGTTAATAACTTATAATTAAAACTCATTATAGCCATTCCTCAAAAATAACTATGGGCTCTTACGTTTTATTCTAACAAAGAAAACTGCTGAATTAAAACCATTAAAAATGACGTTTAATTAGTTTATTTAACATTAAGCACTTCATCGGCACGAACTGCTTATAATGGTGCAACTAAAACACAAGCACATCATCAGCACACTATTTGATGTAAATCACTCCTCTGTATTTTTGACAGGTACGGCGCTTTGTATGCGGTTAGTAAGATCGGATAATGTGCTAATTTTTAGATAGCACAACATATTACAAGGCAATTTATTACATGCTTGTAAAAAGCCATTTATCTAGAGGCATTAATGTGTTTCATGGACTAAATACAGCTTCTGATCATCCTCAATCATGTCCACATCAGTAATTTTACCACCATGGAATCCATAGTACAATCCCATGTCTTCTTCTACTATCTTTCGGATCCCACGGGTGGAAAGGGAATACTGTGCACTTTTTTGGGTGCATTTTATCTGAAAATGACAGACGAAATTAAGGTTTACAGCAATTGGTGAGCTAGAGTCTTCATAAAATAGAGATGGACAGACATAACACCAAAAAGAAATGCATATCAAATTGGAACAATATGTTTATTAGTCTGCTAGCTCTTCAAGGAAGAGGTAGAACTAGATGCAAACCTTTCATGTAATGTAATGTAATGTTTTGCATAAGCAATTATAATAAATTTAACCCCAAAAGTGAACTATGAGAAAAAAGTGTAAAACATTGTCAAGACGTAAGGCTACGTAATAAATAATGCATTCTGGTAATTCTTAGGCATTATCATCTTAGGATGGAGGAGTTAATCTCTCTAAATTGCTAATAAGCCTATTTTACTGTACTTCTTAGAAAAACTAGAAAGGTATCGCAGTATGTCAGTACCTGATAATTCTTGGCGGGAATATGGAAGTCTCAACAGTTGGGCAGATTTTGCGTCTTCCAGTAGCTTGATCAGATTGTTACTTCCACGTATCCGGGCTTCATCAAGAGGGGTATTTCCCCATCTTTGTGTAATAAAATGAAAATGGACGAATTTTTTTTATGCTATTTCGGCGAAATCAAGAAAAGGAAAAAAGAAATAAACGGAACCTAAATTCTTTAGTCAGTAAGACGTGAAATTAGGGAAAATATGGCAAAAAGGAAATAGTGAAACATTACTGCTAACAGAGGTGTGTGCTAAACTTATTCCATCTTGTTTATGATACTGGTGTTAATTCACACCAAGTTGAAATTTTGTTGTGGAGTTGCATGTCTACAATATTACAGAAATCCATGGCATCAAGCTTCCAGTTATTTCTCTGGACACACCACTTCTTCCGTGTCAAAACTAAAGCTCAGTGCACAAGTGAATTAAGCCAGCCTTGAAAAATCACGGTCCATTTTATTTTTTAGTGAAAACAAGAATGAAAATGTTTCCTAGTATCAAACACCAGTCATGTCAGCATGAACCTGCAAAAAGAGAGATGAATGATACCTGTCTTTGGTAGAAAGAAACACTAGCTCCGGCTTCTAATAGCAACTTTGTCATGGAGTACATGCCTTTCTTTACCTGCAGCTATGTGAAGAGGGTTTCAGTGATCATAATCTTTTAAGTTAGGATCCATGCCATTGGATAGAAGCCTTCTAAGATAATATGAATCCCCCTTTGCAACTACTGTACACAAAAAACTACCCATTGCGATATTTTCGATCATCACGGAGGCCCATTCTTTAGCAAGTAAAGAAGCAACCCTATCATTTCTATTCTTAACTGCAAGTAATGGTGTGCTCCCCAAGTTATCTATAAATTCAACAAATAATAACGGTTGTGTTAGGTTGTCGAATTAGTAGGGGAAAAACAAATTAAAAGATGAGATAGGTTGAACGTTAAATTGAATCTTATCCCATTTATTATACAAAATATGCTGATTCATTTTAACATATATTTATTATATTTTAAAAAATATTAAAAATGTTATATTGTAATAAATATGCATTATAATTTACATATCAACTCATTATAAATAAAATTAAAATTAATTTTACTGATATAACTTAAATTAAAAAATATATTATTTATTTAATATTATTAATTGTTAAAATAAATAAAAATGGATAATTGACTATCAAATCTAATCTATTTTTTTTATATGGGATGAATTGACTTGAAAATTTTTTCAAGTAACTCGTTGGATTAAATTCAACTGGTGTAATCTTTTTATGTTAAAATTTTCTGTTTTTTACCATTTCTTCCATAAATATACATGTAATAAATACGAAAAATGATATTCATAAAAATATATTTTTCATTTTATATTATTCTTAGAGCGTATTTTATGGGTACCATGACAATTTTAATAATCAAGAATCAAACACTAAAAAGATTTACAAGTTTAGAGAATATGACAAAAATCGTAAAATATATAAACAGAAATAGAAGAATTATACATGAACAAATTAAAAAACATGTGTTCTTACACAATGAGAATAGTTTTGCTGTGATTCAAGATACCTAATCCTATTTCAGCTAAGGGAATAAGGGAAAAAAATGACTTTCAATAAAAATATTTTTAATTCTTGAAATATATTAAAAAATTATGAAATTAATATAAATAGATGAAAATACCATCTCGATCCTTAACTTTTTTATTTTTTTAAAATCTATGTTCTGTTATTCGTATTTAAAAATATAAATATAAATATTTTAAAAAAGTAATTTTAGATCATACTCTGACTCAATACTTTATCATTTGAGATATTAACGTTGTTTAATTGATATCTTTAACTATTTTGATTAATATGTTCTAACAAAAATCATGCAAAACATATGAGAAAAAAAATGTGGATATCAAAGTATGTCATATTGAAGTTAAAATTAATATCTTAACTTTTATGGTCTTAATCTAAACAATTGAACAAAAATAATTAAATAAAAAAAAGACTGGATGTTCCAATTTTAAAATAAGAAAGCAAGATTGAAAATCAAAATCGTATTTTACTGAATATGAAATTGTAGTATTGATGTGAAGTGGAAACACATACTAAATTATTTTAAAGAACAAAAATATTTAAACACACAAACTAAATTATTTCTCAAAATAATTTTAAAATTAAAAGTTAAAGTCCTAAGAACAAATAAAAACAGTAAAGAACAATGAGGAAATAGTGTTAGAATAAATTTTAAAAACTAAAATATGAGCAGTTTTTTCTAGAGTGGTTTAAAAGGAGTGATCTAATTGTCAAATAATTAATTTAAATATCATTATTTTCTAACTAATTAATTATAACTTCAACACTAATCAAATATTGGAATATCCTATTTTTTTTCCTTTCCAACGTAAAAAAAAATGAATTATGATAAAATAATAATAAAAAAAAGAAAAATTGGAAATTGTTTAGCATAATGCCAGTATTATTATTATTATTATTATTATTATTATTATTATTATTATTATTATTATTATTATTATTATTATTATTATTATTATCTATGTTACTTTCTTCCTCTACCTTTTTCTTTTGTTTTTTCCGTTGAAACAGGATGGGGTTAAAATTGAAGAATTTAAAATATATTAAAGAAAATAATTATTATTATTATTGTACGTGAGAAGAAAAAATATATTCTTTTATACAATGATAAAGAAATTCTGAAGAAAATACTGAAAAGTGAGAAGAAAAAATATATTCTTTTATACAATGATAAAGAAATTCTGAAGAAAATACTGAAAAAAATATTATATAAAATTTTCTAAATACATACATTTACAATTATATTATTATATGTTTTTTATTTTTTTATCCTTTATAATCAGTTAAAGTTGAAAACAACTATTTAATTTGTAAAGGATACACGGTCACAAGAACGTATTATTTATATATATATATATATATAGAGAGAGAGAGATAGATAGATAGGAAATTTCAAACACCAACCTCACTGTGAAACCCTCCCTCCAACTCCTCGCAAACGTTAACAATGATTCACTCATGCGTTTCGGACGCAAAAACAATAGACTCAGCTCTCCACTCCCTTGAACACCTTCCCTTGTCACAGCGTCGAAAATTGTTGCATTCTCCAACGCTCCGAAACGACACTCACACATCGCTCGCTTCCGCTCCCTCATTCCAATTCGACGCTGTCGTAAAAAAGGGGGATGGAGATTTTGATTCTAAGGTAAATTACTATTATTATTTTTTTATTCTGGTAGTGTTTCTTTTACTCATAGTATAATTTCGCTGATGTGAACGTGAGTAATTCATTGTCTAAAATCTCTACGAATGACCGACTTCAGTCTGAAAATCAGATATGTTGTGATGCTAGGTTTGCCGACCAAGTTGAGTTGTTTTTGTTATTCAGTCTCGGAAATTTTATGTTGGCAAGAGCTCTTTTGTTTTCTATACGTATAAATGATCCACTGCATTGACTTTATTGTGATTTGGGTGATTTGTGTTGATCAATTTTTGAGGCATGGAAGATTCCTAAATTTTGTGGAGATGCCTGTTTATTTAATTAGTGCAAATAGAAATCGTTTTTCAGATCATTCCGATAGACATTAAACGAAGTTAATACATATAAGTTGTGGACTCAAGAATTGAAACGCGGCAGCATTTCCGATACCCATACACACCTTAGCAAAATAGGTAATTACCAAGATGAACTATAGGTTCTAATAATATGTCAGATTTCATTTTAACATCAATCGATATTAAGCAAATTTATCCAAGAGTTGACATAGAGACCAGGGTTTTATAAAAAGGATAATAGTCATTTACTCTAAATAACCTATGCTACCACTTGGAGAGCAAAGAAGAATAAAAATAAGCATTCATATTTTTCATTGTCAAAGATAGCCTAGAGTTGAAATTATTACCTAATCGTTGGTAATGATGACTCTACAATTTTCATCATCTCTATATAAACAAACTACTAGTATTCTAAGCCCATCCAAAGTATGATGAATATGTGAGCATACCATAAACTATTATAATGATGACTACCATTTTCATCCTCCCTAGATAGATTAAATAATACCCTACTATTCTAAGCCCATCTTTTGTACATTTAATTTTTAGGGTAGGATGAACATGTGAGCATAAGATCAACTATTATAATCAAAAGGCTATGTTGGGACTTCAGAAAAAGTGAGAGGGTGCTAGCTGGGGATTTAGGCGTGACATCAGGTTCATAAGTTTGAAGCAAAAAAACTTGATTTGGTAAAATTAGGCAAATCATTCAATGATTGAAGCTGTAAGGTGTGTGTGAATTTGCATAGGTAGCAGAAACGGTAGCAGGTTATCACAAGTGGAAAATGAAAAGGCACGCGGTCTATGTTGCTTGTGTGTGGTGGGATTGGAGTGTGGGGTTTGGGGTGGGATTTGATGACTGCAAGCCTTGTTGGAAAGGTGGGGCCTTGGGTAGAGAAATGGTGCCAGGTGCAGGTAAGCATTCGGGCACAAGAGTGGTTGGATAATTGGCAAGAGTGAGCTGATATGGTGATAGCTTTGCGGTAGTCAAATTATGCAATGGTGGAGAAGGAGGATTGGAAAATTGTTCCAAAGGTGACTTCCTTGGAAATCTGTTATAAAGGGATAAGGAAATAATATTGAGTGAGGGCTGTTGGGACATATATAGAGAACAAAAGAGTGGATTTGGGACTTATATAGAGAACAAAAAGTGGGTGAGTAAAATGAAAAACAGCAAGTAATTCTGAGAGCCTAGTGATGACAGAAAAAAAACGGTGGGATTTGATGGACTTGAGGAAGATGGCATGGTGGTAATTTTCAAGGTGCTCGTTTTGGTCAACCGTGTTTGGAGGGAAGCGAACTTTTCAGTGATGGCATAAAGTTGGTGTTGGTTTTCCATGGGAGGGAGGTGAAGTGAGCTGAATGAAAGCACCAATTGGTAGAGTTTATTACTATTTACTGTAAATAACCTCTACTAGCATTAGAGAGTGAAAGAAGAATAATAATACAAATAAACATTTGTATTTTCAATTGATGAAGATAGACTATGAGGAGGACAATTATATAATCTAATCACATTTCTAAGCCCATCCTATATAGTCTTTTAGTCATTTCGGTTTCAAGGGATTTTGGTACCTCCCTAGTCCCATCCTAACAATTTGGGTACTTTGCTCTATGTTTTGGACTCTTGATTTTTGTCTTTGCGCTGTTTGAAGTTATAGTTAATGTTTGTGGATTCTTGTATATATGTTAGTGTGTGTGGCTAGGTGGCTCATATTTTTTTTTGTCAGGTTCCATTGATAAGCACGTGGAAATCCTCCTTTTAACCCTAATAGTTAAGGGGAGAGAACCAAACACATAATACTTCGTATCCTATACTACTCAATATAGGATTTAGACACTTTAATATGCAAGTCTCTATCAATTTTATTCTTTCAAACAACAGAAGGATGGATATCTTGTCCGCCATAGTGGGCCTCCCTCACAAATTGCCTGTGGCAGTTGTCAAAAAATCTGATGCTCCATTTCATCATGTTGGCCCCTAGTAAATTCTTTTTGGTTGCTCTATTCTTAGTGATTTTTTATAATACTTTTTTTAAACAAAATTTCTGAAATATTTTTGAAATTTTTATAAATGAATTTCCTTTATGCATTTTCTTCTGATATTTGACAAATAATTGGTTGGTTCTATCAAAATTATTTTCCATAAAAAGTTCTGTAGTGATGACAGGTGTTTAGAAGTGGAATTTTTGTTTCATTTGCATTTGTTGCAACTGGTAGGAAACTCAAGTGTGATTATGCCCTGATTTGCTACAGGTAACGTGTCCCATGTTTGAAATTGATGACAGCCGAATAGAGAATACGAGTGGTAATGTTACCATTTTAGCTCGATGTCCGACACTTCCTGCCTTCGGTGGCTGTGCAACTATAAAGGTTGAAGACTATCAGATTCCTTCGAGTTCTGTTGACAAGGGTAGAGAAGCATCTATTCAGTTAGATTTTCCTACGCCAAAGGTGAAAAAGGAGATTCCTGAAGACATGGTTTATGATCTAGATCATATTGTGTTGAAAGAACGGCTAAGGATGCTGCTAGTGGGGTACTTCGTTACTTATTAATATTTTCTCTTTGGTTGGGCTATTAAGCGTACTTTTTCTCTTGTTGCCCTCTTTAACTTTGTTTTTCAACTTGGTCAAACAACAAACAAACAAACAAAGTATTAGAAAAATATCAAACATAACACAGAAATGGACCTTTTGATATCTATTGGAATTTACGTAGTATTATTAATTAGTTAAGTAGTTTGGAGGAGTATTAGGGTCTTGATATTCTAGGAGATCCTTCTATTTATTTATTTTTACACAAACAAATTGTTTTAATTAATTATTTTATGTATATAATCCTAAATATGCAAAGTTCGCCCAAGCAAATTTATTAGAAACCTCAATGTCCTTTCAATTTCTTCAAGTTGTTAATCAAAGTGATATCACTCTTTTTGAGTTTTTAGGCATAGGCTTTGAATCCCATGGACTGTGATATCTTCAATCTCCATAATCTACCACATTTGAAATTTTAATCTTTTTCATTGTTGTTTGATTATTCATCCAAGTATGAATAAATTAAAAAATGTGGTTTCCCATTTACACTATTTGCAATCTTTTGAATGTGAGTTGTGTCTTTTTGGCTAACTATCCTGGTTGTTTTTCAAAGAAAGATCAAAAGTTTTTCAGAATCTTCCTTTGATATTCATTTAGATGTCGTAGTTGTGTTAGATCTATGCGAGGTGACAAATATTTTGTTACTTTCATTAATGGTATACCAAGATCAGTTGGATATTTAAATGGGAGATATTTATTTACTGCTTGATATTTAACAACTTTTTATTTTTATATTCATACTCAATTTGGGTATTTCTTGACCAAAAACTATATATTTGATTCTTTTCAAAAATAGACTGTGGAAGTTGGCTCTGCCTACCTCTCTCTAAAATACCTATTCCATGCACGACTAAGAATTGAATCCTGATTCGGATGCTTATAGACCCAATTATTTTTCAAATGTGCTTGACATTTTTTATACATTCTTATTTTATGTAGTGACAATGCAAAAGAGTGTTTTTTATCTATTCATTCCTTTAATCTTTCCATATGGTATCATTAGTCAATGTAATTGTCCTCAAGTTCTTGTAGAAAGAAAACATTATGACCTGCTTCATAGAATTTGATTCAAAGGGATTCATAGTTCTTGTGGAGAGCATGAACATAAAAACCATAAAAATTATCAAGCTTTGGCAGCATCTTTTTCATGATCATCATAAGCTTGAGCTAATCAACAAATTGTGCCTTGTTTAGAAAGGAAGGCATATCATGATCTATCGTGTCGAGTGTAGTCAATCTTTGATCAGATGCATATAGCTGTTATAATCATTGGTGATTTGGCACAGATTCCAAGCTTTCTTCCAAATGTCATAACAAGTCTCATATAAGTAGAAGTGCACCACTAAATTAGGGTCAATGGGTTGCAATAAATAAACAAAGGTGTTAATAATCTTCCCGATTCCATTCTTCCTTCTTAGTAGTGGCAATGCCACCTCTTCAGTGAGATGCTTATAGAGGTTTTGACGGAGAAACCAGACCTAAACACTCAATTTTTTGGTGGTGGTGGGTTTGACTCTGAAAAAGTAAAGGAGAAGGAAATCAATTCTTTTCAACTTTTGGAACCAGCCTTAAAATCCAAACAAAAACACAGATCTGAAAACCTCACAGCAAAAGTAGTCCTAGAAATTAAAAAGCCAAACAGTAGCAGACTAGCAGCATCCTAAAAGTGAATTAGGGAAAGAAATCCAAAATCAAATTCAGAAAATCTGGCTATACAGGGGCAGAAGTGGTTAAGGAGACTTTTGAGACCATGATAGTAGCGTTACCAGTGGCAAAGAGTGAGTTGACCCTGAAGGCAGCATGTGAATTACGAATGCATGATGACATTGGAAGAAGTCCACCGAGTGGTAGCTCAAAAACGGGATTTTGGTTGGTGGTGGCATCCTTCTAAACAGACCCAACAACCAAACTCGTCAAAGACTGTGTACAAGACGGATAAGCCTTGACCACAGCTAAGCGACAAACCAGAAAGGATATCAAACTTGTGCTGGACTGGATTAGACAGCATGAAATACTGAATGCCCACTTGAGATTGAAACTGTTGAATACTAAATATTATCGACTGACTTGCAAAACTTCTATTTGTATGTAGGTGTATCTCTAAAAACAGAAACACTAATCTACAATAACAACTGGTCTACAATTTTGTATTTTGTATGTAGGTCAATCTCATACATTAACTACATGTCTACATTACTATTATTGGAATATTTGGGGATAGAAATCTCTCTCCTTCTATAAAAGTCTCAACTGAGAGCTGTTGCAAGTTTTTTGTGGTGGGAAGCAAACCCAAAAGCATATCATGCACAAGAGGGGGAAGGGACATGTAATAAGCTTGCTATATATTTTAGTAGTAAGTGAGAAGGACTTGAATTGCTTGTAACCAGATGAAACTTAATGTCTTTTTAGAAAAAATAAATGAAAAAATGGATTTTAAATTTATTGATGTAAATTAAGTTTTGTTTGTTTTACATGATATTTTATTTTTGTTTTTTATTTGGATGTAATAACTTTGAGTGGCAGTATGTGTTAGGAAGTACAAGTGTGATTCTAAGTTCCACATTAGGTAACAATGAGAAAGTTGAATAACATATAAGGAAGTGTGACCCCTAACCTAATGCCTTAAGGTTTTGGGTTGAGAGTGATGTCAATCCTTATGTGGGTTGGGCTCATGTCTCACTGGTGTGTTTCTCTCCTGTGAATTTCCCCTTGAAAGACCCACCAACTGTATCAAAAGCTTAGGTTTTTTCATGCGAGTGGGAGCAATGGCAGAAGACAGAAAAGTGAAGATTGAAAAATTTGATGGAAACAATTTTGGATTTTGGAAAATGCAGATTGAAGATTATCTTTATCAAAAAAAGTTGTACCAACCTTTGTCTGAGAATAAACCAGAAACAATGTCTCAGGCAAATTGGGAGTTGTTAGATCGACAGGCTTTAGGCGTTATCAGATTAACATTGGTGAAAAATATTGCCTACAACATCATCAATGAGAAGACGACATATAGTTTGATAAAAGCATTATCAAACATGTACGAGAAGCTATCGACATCAAACAAGGTATTTTTGATACGTCAATTAGTTAATACAAAGATGCGAGAAGGTGCTAGTGTTACAGATCATGTGAATGAATTTAATTCTTTATTGTCAAGATTAGTGTGAGTGAATATTAAATTTGATGATGAAGTACAAGCCCTATTGTTATTATCTTTGTTGCTTGATAGTTAGTCAGGAACTGTCACAGCAATAGCCAGTACATCTGGGACTATGAAATTAACCTTTGAAGGAATTAGGGATTTAATCCTTAATGAGGATGTTCGTAGAAGGAATGCTGAAGAATCAACAAATTCCTTATTAAGCACCGAAGATAGAGGTAGAAAACCTGAAAGAGGCAAATTCTGAACGTGGTAGATCAAAGTCTAAGGAGTAAAGACAGTCCAAATCCCGCAAGGATATTACTTGTTAGAATTGTCAATAGAACAGTTACTTTAGGAATCAGTGTACTACTCCTAAAGAAAAGAGGCATGACAATATAATGAATGCAGCAGAAGAAGACGGTGATGATGCGTTGATATGTTGTGTTGAAAACAAGTTTGAATCCTAGATCATGGATTCTAGTGCATCTTTTCATGCTTCTCCTTGTAAGGAGTTGATGAAAAACTTTAGAAGTGGAAGTTTTGGCAAAGTACGTCTAGCAGATAATGAAGCTTTAGATATTGCAGGCATGAAAGATATAAATCTTAAAACATCCACGAGTATAGTATGAACTCTGAAGGATGTCAGATATATTCTAGGACTCAAGAGAATGTTAATATCTGTGGGTATGTTGGATGTTCAAGGATATCGAGTTATATTTGGAGAAGGTCAATGGAAGGTGGTGAGTAGTAATCTAATTGTTGTTCGTGGTTGGAAGAAAGGAACCCTATACATGCTAGAATTACCTTCTGAAGAAGTAAATTCAATTAGTAATGATGTTGGTGATGATTTTTGTCATTCTTCAACTTTGTGGCACCAAAGGTTTGGTCACATGAGTGAGAAAGGTATGAAGATACTAGTCTTAAAGGGGAAGATTCCAAAACTGGAAAAGGTAGAAGTTGGTTTCTGTGAACCATGTGTGTGTTTGGGAAGCAGAAAAGAATTACCTTTGCAAAGTCAAGAAGGATGCCTAAGGTAGAGAAGTTGGAACTTGTTCACTCATATGTGTATGAGCCAACATCAGTCTCATTATTGGGAGGATCACGATACTATGTCACCTTCATTGATGATTCCACTAAAAAGGTATGAGTTTATTTTTTGAAGTAAAAATCAGAAGTATTTAATACCTTTAAGAAGTGGAAAGTCATTGTTGAGAATGAACTCACTTGAGAAAAATAAAATTTGGTGTTTGACTGACCTACCAACAGGAAAGAGGGCATTGCAGAACAAGTGGGTCTTCAAGATCAAGAAAGAACATGATGACAACAAGAGATACAAGGCAAGGTTAGTGGTGAAAGGCTTTCAGCAGAAAAGAGGTATTGATTATAATGAGATTTTTTCTCCTATAGTTAAAATAACTATAATTAGACTTGTGTTAAGTATTGTGACTGCAGAGGATTTACATCTAAAGCAGCAAGATGTTAAGACAACATTCTTACATGGTGACCTTGATGAGGACATCTACATGATGCAACCATAAGGTTTTCAAGTTGTAAGGAAAGAGAACTTGATTTGTAAATTGATCAAAAGTTTGTGTGGGTTGAAGCAAACACTTAGACAATAGTACTTAAAGTTTGATAGTTTTATGAGTAGGATAGGGTACAAGAAGTGTGTTACGGATCACTGTTGTTATATGAAAAATTTTGGTCCATCCTATATCATATTACTACTGTATGTTGATGACATGTTAGTTGCAGGTTCTAACATGGATGAAATTAATAAATTGAAGACACAGTTGTCTGAAGAGTTTGAGATGAAGGATTTGAGTATTGCAAAACAAATTTTGAGCATGAATATCAGCAGGAACAAATTTGAAGGTTCCGTAATATTATCTCAAGAGAAGTATATTGGAAAAGTGTTAAAGAAATTCAATATGCAGGATGCTAAAATAGTAAGTACATTTTTTGGAGTTCACTTTAATCTCACTCAAGAGGAGTCACCTAAGATAGATGAAAAAAAGGCAGCAATGACTAAAATTCTTTATGCATCTACAATCGGTAACTTAATGTATGGAATGGTATGCACTAGACCAGACATTGCTCATATAGTGGGAGTTGTTAGTAGATTCATGTCTAATCCAAGAAGAAAGCATTGGGAAGTTGTCAAGTGGTTGTTACGCTACTTGAAAGGTACTTCTAAAACTGCATTATGTTTTAGAAGAAATGATGTCATTTTGAAAGGATATTTTGATGCAGATTTGGGAGGTTGTTTAAATACAAGGAAGAATACTACAGGATTTGTCTTCACAATAGATGACACAACAGTTAGTGGATGTCTCGACTTCAGAAAAGTGTTACACTTTCAATTACAGAAGCAGAGTACATGGTTATTTCGAAAGCTAGTAAGGAAATGATTTGGTTGAAGAATTTTCTTGAGGAGCTAGGCCAGAAGTAGTGTGACAATATTCTTTATAGCGATAGTCAGAGTGTCATTCATCTTGTAAAGAATCCTGTTTTTCATGCAAGAACAAAATACATCTAGTTGAGGTATCACTTCATTAGAGGACTAATAAGTAATGATACTTTGTTTTTGGAGAAGATCCTTGGGTCAGAGAATCCTGCAGATATTGACCAAGGTGGTTACTATTGAGAAGTTGAAGTTTTGCATAATTTCAACTGGCCTTCATTATTAATTGTTGAAAAGGCATTGCACTAGTTTGATATTGTTAGAACTTTGAGGTTTACTAGATTTACTTTGGAGTGTGCTTGATGTGATCAGCCTCCAAGTGGGAGATTGTTAAGTATATGGAGTCTGAAGGGTTATTGAGTCTAACCCATTTACTTATTCTTTTATTATAAATACTCATGTAATTGTAAACCTAATTGTGTGAATAAGAACTATCATCTAGTGCATTCGTGGACGTAAGTCGTTTTGACTGAACCATGTAAATTCCTTGTGTTCTTGTTATTAATTTTCATCTTGTATTGCATTTGTGTTCCCAACAACTGATATCTTGATGGGTCTTTTGAGGGGATTCACTGGGGAGAATAACACCATTGAGACATGAGCCTAACCCATATAAGGGATTGACACCACTCTTAACCAAAAACTTTAAAGTATTAGGTTAAGCGTCATACTTCTTTATATGTTGTTCAACTTTCTCATTCTTACTCAATGTAGAACTTAACTCACATTTGGATTACCCAACAATCTCTCTCAATTGTGAGTCCTTTTACATTGGTACATCCCCTTGAGTTCACTAGTGGTCCTTTCATGTACCGTCATTCACTCTAACGGGACACGCTTACGTGACCCACTCTATCAGGAAGACTTTTGATACAAAGACCACTCTAACCCACTGACGATCAACCTTCGGCTCTGATACCACTTGATGGGTATTTTGAGGGGATTTACTGGGAAAAATAACACCAATGAGACATGAGTCTAACCCATATAAGGGATTGACACCACTCTCAACCCAAAACATTAAGACATTAGGTTATGGGTCATACTTCTTTATATGTAGTTCAACTTTCTCATTCTTACTCAATGTAGAACTTAACTCACACTTGGATTATCCAACCGTATGAATGTTTGAAAAGTTTAATAGCACAACCCTCCTATTCCCTTTCAATTTTCTTGCATTTTGATTTCAGTTTCTTTTAACAAATAATTTTTTGGTTTGGTTCAAACATTTTATGACTAAACAACCAAGCTTATTGCAATTGAAATATGAAATATCATATTTTTTCCATTGTAAATAACCAAAGTAAAACATTTTATTTGAAGGAAGCTAGATAGAGTTCGCTTCTTTAAACATGGTTCAAATAATATATTTGTTATTGCAGGAAGCTTCGAGGATTGTCAAATTCAGCTTTAGAAGAGGTAATTTAATATTATTTTTATTTAGTTGAAAGAATTAATAAGTCACTTTTTGTTCTTGGTTTTTTTAGTAGATTAATATATTCATTGAAAAATAGCTAGCTTATCACTCTTTTATGATGATTTAACTTTAATTGTTGATAATAATAAATAAACTATTATATTGTAGTGTATACGTCAATTGCTTAGATGCGACAAGGATTAAAATGCCTTCGAGAAATAATACTTTTTTATATTTCCTTTCCGTCCTTGATTTTTCATAACGCATATCTTTTTCTTTCTTCTCTTCGGCTTTGAAACATGATTTCTTGGTGTAATTATTATTTTCATTTTAGGAACAATTATCCACATTAACAATATTTGAAGATGGGTACTGAGTAGTCACATTTTGTGCAACTTTCTGTGCAATTTATTACTTGCCTCATTTCTTGTAATTTTTCCTTAATTTTTTTATGGACAATGTTGGATTCAATTGTGACTGTAACTCTAATACAAACGATTATGGTGGGTATCGAAGAAATTCCACATTTTTATTCTGTTAAAATTGAGTATAGCTTCTTAAGATCAAATGGTTCAAATTACAGAATTTTGAGACATTCATTAGTAATGATGACTTATTCCTTGTGTCTTGTGTCTGTATTAGTTTCAAACTAGTATGTGATTTAGATGTTAAATAGTATTTATGTCTTGTGTTCATATTATATACTCATTTTGTTTTCTAATTTAAATTGACATGTCTGCACTTTCCTTCCCGTGTTACCGCCAATAGGATATTGTTTAAATATTTTGTGCAAATACTCTTAGAATAGTGTAGATTTCTCAGAAATATGCTTGGTTCTCGTTATTAAAATTGCAACTTATTTTTGTTTTAGTGTTGTAATGGAGACTTTTTTGAAACCATCATGGAACATACTGTCAAAAAAGGAAATGAAGAGATTAATTCTGCCAACGGGAAAGCAGCAGCGGCTACAGACCAGTGTGATGACATCTTCGCAGGAAGTAATATTTCGCAACCACTTGGGGCCACATGTGTATCATCTTCATTAACTAATTATGCCTCATCTAAATCAAAAAGATCAGTAATTTCAACTGGCCTTCAAGAAGATTGGCCGAAATTAAAATCCAGAGGAATAGTCATGCAATTTGATTCACATGTGGAACATAATGGTATAAATAATGATGGCTCATTTAGTTCAACTTCTCCAACCTTTGCCAAAGTCAAGGATGAACCTTGGGACTACATTGAAAACCTCAATGTTAAAAAGAATTATTTGGGTAGGTTTCATATCGAACTCCCAAATGTAAAACATGAAAGGGAAGTCCATAGTGAATATTCCGAAGATCAAGTCGAACATATGACCTTAACTGATCGACTACATTTCCTCAAGGCTAGAGCTGATTCTAGTTTAAATATTTCTACAAGCTACTCATCTTTGAAGAAGACTCGGCCTTTTTCCTCTTTGTCAAGCCCAATTTTTTCAAAATCTGCCGAACCTTCAAGCATCATGTGTAGGCGCAAAAGAAAAAAAACAGCCACGTACTATCTAATTCTGTTGTGTTAAATTATCCTCTTAAATAATGATACCAACTTTACTTCCATAACCGAATCATAAATTATAATAATTATTCCAACTGTTAAATTGTTTTGCAGTGATTCAGTTCAAGAAGCACTTGAAGAGGATGCTCCTGGGCTCCTGCAGGTGTTATATTGTAGTTTGTGTACAGTCACTGAAATTGGAATTTATATCAATCTTCTTGCAAATATCATTTGGCAGGTATTGCTTGACAAAGGTGTATTAGTTGATGAAATTAAACTTTATGGAGACGAAGAAGATGATGAACCTCTGGATGAATCATTTGCTGAAGATAGCTTTTCAGAGCTTGAGGCTGTGATGGTCAAGGTGAAGAATATACTATATTATATTGTCTCCCTTAATGGTTTGCCTTTCAATTTCAGTTCAGGACCAAACTAACTCAAGATATTAGTAAGTTATGATGCTTTAATTGTTCCATTTCATTTCATAATTACATATCAATAGATTGTTTTGTCATACACCAGCATGGATGGCATGTGTATAATACAATTTATTAAATTTGAAAAAAAAAACTGATGTTCAGACAAAAAATCTTAAATAAAAAGAGCCAATGTTTTAAGTGAGCACAAATACTTGTATAATATATTGTTCAAATTTATCTATTTATTCTGATACTCCTTCAAGAAATAGAAGTAAGAAAAATTGTTAAATGCTGTTAAGAGAGCATTTGAAAATGTCATGCATGGACATGGTTATCAACATCACAAGCCAACTCTTAATCTCGTTAGTTTACATTCCCACACCCTCAAGCTTAGTTAACTTGCTTGTAGAATTGTTTTTGAGTAGACTCACTCAAACTCGTGTAAAATTGCAAGATTAGGGTTGATTAATCGAGCTCGGTTGGACATTAGAAAAAAGCCAAAATCGACATTGAATCTGTTTGTTTTTGGGTCGTGATTTACAGACTCGGGGCACAATTTTGTAGTTAAATGGTTCTCTGTTGTGAGATTCTATCCATTTTGGCCGTTGACTTACAGCTTCAATTGTGTTCTCCTTTCGCATAAACAGATCATTATTGGTGTTTTTTTCTCAGCTGTGTTTCAGGTCTTGCATGCTCTTGTTCTCGGTATTGTCATGGACACCCTGTGACCTTCCACTCCTCGTCTGTGTTTTATGCATTTTATTGTCTGTTTCATAGATAGGGGTCGTGCTAGCTAACAACAGTTAGTAGGTCGGGTTACATTAGGTTTTTTTTTTTCACTCCCTTGTCTTAGTTCGGGTCCAACATTGTTGTTTTTTAATTGTTATATTAAACATAACATATAGTATAATCCATTAAATAATAGTAACAAAAATATAATAATATTAAAAAGTATAATATTTAGATAATATTTAAAGCATTTAGATTAAAAGTATAATATTAAAAATCTATTTAAAGCATTTAGATAATATAATATTTTATATGTTTATATTTGTTATTTATTAACAAGTATTGGTGTTAACATTTTATTTGTTAATGAGTTGACGTAGTTTGAACTTAGTTAGTAGTAATGTATCGACAAACTTAGTTACTTTCTTATTGTAGTTTTTTTTATTAAGGAGTTGAAATGTTGAATTACTATGTTATTTATTGTTATTTTAATATTTTTTATTACGTAAAAAGCCTGAATGAGTTTATGTAGACTCTTGATTGACAACGGTGTACATGGTACATGTTAGACATGGCTATTATTTTGAAGTCTAATGTTGTTCATTAGTTTGTAGTACGATGATGAAGATGTCGCAGATAGACAATAATTGACAATTATGCTATGCTAGAAAAAAAAAATTGATTGCAACAGATATTCTCAATTAAAGCATTCTCAATGGGACATTTTGGTATTATTTTTTTTTTTGGGTGTATTAGATGCATTTCCTTTTCAAGAAAGGAGTCATTGTGATTCTCAAGATTTTTTTCCCCACACTAATTTCTGAATCAATCAGCAGGATGCATAAATTATTATTTAATTAGACTAAGATCCTTAGTTTTTCTCAAATTACACTTACATCCCTTATTTTTTCATCATTACAATGACCTCCTTAAGGGAATGCATGTGTAATGTAAAAAGAGGGAGACATGTATAATGTTTCGAAAACTGAAGGGGTACATGTGTAATGTAAAACGGGTGGACAAAGTAAGGAAAAGGGGAAGGTTGGTATAGAATTTTTTAAAAATTGGGGTATCAGTTTAATTTGAGAAAACCTTAGGGGTGTAAATTTAGTTTATTCTAAATTATTTTCCTACTAATAATTTATTATGATCAAAGCTTTCCAAGGGGAATCTAGCTACAAAGCTAATTTTATAAGAAATGAAAGTGGATCTTTATTATTTATGAATGATTGAAGTTTTAAGATTCACTCTTTCATTTCTCACATATACAGGCTTCCCTTGGTTGAACATATCAGTTTAAACTTTTAGATTATGTTTGCAACTTTGAAGTGAAAAATATAGGTTTGTTTGTCAGAAAAGGAATAAAATGAAAACGTACCATTATTTTCCACTGATTTATTTATCAGTGAAATTGAGGGAAACTGTTCATCGTTGGCTTTCTTGTGGTCGTAGGAAGAAAAGGAGTTAAAGTTGGCTTTTTTGTGCTCTTAGGAAGAAAAGAAATGAAAGTAAAATACTATTTTAGATAATCCAAAGTTAATCACTGTCTTGGTGGAACGCCCACAAGAAAAACGTACACTTGCATCCTACTAGCATTTTCTTTTCCAACTGCCTAGATTTTATGATGATATATGATCAGCTCTTCTGTTCAGGTGTATTTTACATGATATAAGGATAAAATGAGATCAGATTTGGCTAATACAAATTCCAAAATCTATTTGTTGATAAAAAATGGCCAAAGCTGAAGCCTCAGTTTTTATATTCTTTTTGACATATTTGTCTAATGCGTCATCATCTGATGGATTTAATCAGCTGCTTTAATTTTTTTTCCCCTTTATTTGGAGACAGATTTTCTCTCAGCGGCACACTTTTTTAAAATTCCCTATTACACGGTCCTCAAAGACTTCAAGAGCAAGTTATTGCTTAGCTTGTCTATTCTCACTTGTGGAGCAGGTAATTAGTTTCTTACAAACATACAGTGTACAAAATATTAGCTTGATACTATATTTAATTCCTAGTTTATGCATCTTTTCTGCTACAGACACGATATTTAAAATTTCGAAAGTGGCCAGTTGAATGGGGTTGGTGCCGAGACTTGCAATCTTTTATTTTTGTTTTTGAGAGACATAACAGGTGCTCGTGCTTGATTTGCATTAAAGTTCATCTTTTGTATCCTATCTTTTCTTCCCATTACATTCCATGATGTTGGTGTTGAATTTCAATGCAGGATAGTGCTAGAGCGCCCTGAATATGGTTATGCAACCTACTTCTTTGAGCTGGTAGAATCCTTACCTGTTGAATGGCAGGTCAAGCGGTTGGTGATTGCCATGAAATTGCCTACCTGTAGCAGGATTTCCATTATTGAGAATAAAGAATTGGTGGTAGTGACTTCACGCATATTTTAAACATGAATTATTAACTATAATTGGGGTCTGTTTGAAGGAGCTTCTCCATAAGCTTCTTCTAAGAAAGAAAAAATGAAATTAACTTCTTCATGAGCTAAAACTATCTTATACACAGGTTAAAAATAAAAATTTAGAGAACTTATAAAAATTTACTATTTTTTTTTTCTGCCTATTTTTTACACTTTTGTCCTTCTCTGTGAATTCTTAGAATCAAGGCAATAAGTTGCTCTTATTAGTGCTCCCCCACCCCAAGCTGAAATTCACTGTGCTCAATTCATTGTCTTTGGCATAGGTTGGAGAAGATTTGAGTGAAGGTGAGGCCAAGGTGCTAATGGAATATGGTTGGACGCCAAATACCGGCCTGGGAACTATGCTTAACTACTGTGACAGAGTCGTACATGACAGGAAAAATGAGGGCTTTTCTTCAGAATGGCGATCTAAAATAGGGAAGTTATTGGTGGATGGTTACAATGGCGGAACCATAGTAAAGCGTAACGTTCCAAGAAAAGATTCTGAAAGCCCTGTCATTGGCACAAACTAGGTAGTACCATATCTGATTAGAGATTAGCTTGTGCAGAAAGTGTTTCCATATGTGTGTGTGTGTGTGTATATATATATATATATATATATATACCTTTTATATTTAATGGTAACCTTTCAGACCATGACCGAGCTATTCCTATTGTAGAGTAGTTCAACATTTACGAGCTACAATATATCCTTTACAGGATTACATTGTGAAGGAGCATCAAATACTTCGAACCATGCTTTCGGAATTGACCGAAATGTATGCTCTTTTTTAATTTTAATGCGATGTCTGAATAGGAGGTACTTTAGACCAATGGAATGTAGAATGTAGAAAAAGTACCTTGGTGAAACACAGTAAGACTTTTTTGGCTACGTAACAAAATAAAATAGAAAAAAAGTGGAATTAGATGGAATAAAATGATTTTATTAAACAAGTGTTTTGTACACTGATTGGGTGTTTTTATTTGCATATGAAGTATGAAAATGTTAACAATGATTAAGAAAATATCAGTTTAATCGATTGACAGTTAATTTATTGGCAATAAGAGATTAACTCAAAATTTTAAATTTTGCTAATTGATAAAACATTGTTTTATTAGGTCTCTGCAGATTTTTTTATGCGTAATTTTAATTGAAAAAATTTGAACATTGATTGAAGTAATGAAAGGTAATAAATTTGAACATTCCAAAATCATAGCATTCTGCCATTAGAGCAGATACATAACCATAAAATAGCATTGGCAAATTGATTAACTTTTGTTTATCTATATAGAACAAAAAACATTTTCTGAAGGGTTTACTTTGATATCGTTTTTTCTTAGAGTTAAGTATGGAGTAACATTTTTACTATATTCAATTTTCACTATTTGAATACCAAATTTGCGTTTGGGATTGCCTTGTCAAAAATGTTTGATTTATTTTCTCATAAGTTTATTTAGAAAAAAACTAGACCAAATATAACTTCAGAGAAAATTTAATTAAAAAACTGAGTAATATTTTTCATGAAGGAAAGTACAATAGGACATTCTATACAAAAGATAAGAGTTAGAACTTCCATGGAGAAAATAAGTTTTATAAAATAACAAGACCAATCTTTTCTAAAAAAAAGTTAAATTTTGCAAGAACATACAAAAGTTTATATGCTTGTACTGTTTAGGCAATATGGTTTTATGGTTGGTTTTTAAACTATTGATAATCATCAGTCGTAGAACCTTTTGAAATTATGAACTTGTGACTTTCTACAAATTTGGGGTAGTTTTTTTCTAACTAAAATGGATATATTTTAAAAAGTTATAAAATTAGGTAACTTGTGTTTCAAAACACAATTTAAAATAAAAAGTTGTATTTTGAAATACAACTTTATAATTTTTACAATTATTATCATTATTTAATTCATATCGTACCTCATGATTCATCTAACTCCATAATTTTTTAAAAATTTATCCATTTTAATAAATTTACGAAAAAAATTACACCATTTTTAAAAACCGAGTTAAAACATTTTTATGATTTGGATTAATATATTGTTATGGATCAACACAAATTGAATCTTAAGCCCAATTCAAAACAATAAATATGTTATTTTGTGTACATTTCTTTCTTATATTGCATCACTTTTTTACCAATTTAGGCATCAGTCCAAGAATTATTTTTATTAAATATTTTTAGGGTTATGTAACAAGATCGTAAGAATTTTATTCATAATTTTTAATAGTTTGAATCTTAAAAATCACATTTATATATTTTTGTGCTTAATTGTTAATATAGACATAAAATCACCTAATTATTAGCTTACAAAAGAAATAAAGTTCTTTAAAATTTTATTTTGAATAACTAAAATAGAGATGGTCAAAATATATAACTGAAATGAACTATTTTAAAATTTAATCGAACTAAATGGTTGTTCGATAGAGTTGAATTGTATAATATTTTCGATATCTTACATTATTATTTAACTAAATTCAATTATTCTAAATTTATTTAAATTGTTTTAGCTATTGACCATAAAGGTCTTATTTTTAAATTTATTCTTAATTTTTCGATTTAGTTTAAAAAAAATGTATGTTGAAATAATCAGTTTTTAAAAATTTAAATAAATGATAATTTAGTTTAATTTTTAAAAACAATTTAATTTAATTTTTAAATAAATGATAAATTCAATACTACTTTGGTTCAGTTCAATTAGCCATCTAATTGGATAAGATGATGAAAGTATAATATATATATATATATATATATATATATATATATATATATATATATATATATATATATATATATATATATATATATATATATATATATGATGAAAAATTCAGTAAAATTTACCACATTTTTAATATTAACAAATTTCATAAATGAATAAAAAATTATTTTTATTATTTAACTTTCTTAAAATATAATATAATTACTGTGAATTAGCATAAAATAAATCAATAAAGTCACATTCCAATATAAAAAAAAAAAAAAAAGTTGTTCTCACATGTAAGAATATTTTTCAAACATTAATCAATATCATGAAATGAAATTTATGCTCAATCATAAGATGTTTGGTTTTTAATTTAATTAAAATACACTTATAATTTTTTTTTTTACACCCTTATTAATTTCTGTGCTAAATTTTAAAATTTATATTAGTTACTAAATATACCAAAAACAAATTTTCATTTGGGTTTTTAGTATGCTATATATGAATAGAAGAAAGCAAAAGAGGCTGGAAGGTTTCATTTTGATTAGAGTGAGAGTGAAAAAATAAAATAAAATAAAAAACTATTTATTCTTCAACTTTTTCTCCTAATAAAATTTCAATATTTTCTTTTTATAGACCCCCCACTTCATCTATGGGAACACAAATGAATAAAGAAACTGGAACATTGTACTATCTTGGTTACAGTTTTTAGTTTTGTCAACTTTTTTTTTTTTAATCATTACTATTGGATCCACTAGGGTAGGTACTTTCAGTTGGTTCATTTCCAAGCTTTTGAAAAGATTGATTTTTAGAGGGTAATCCACCTAAATTTTAGACCATTTACTAGTCTTATTGACTATCACAAATATGTAAATTATTTTAATGCTTTTTAGTTTACATAATCACATATAATAATTATTATTGTAACGTTGGACCATCGGTGGTTCCTGAAAACACTTTACATTTTTTTTCTTAAAAAACATGTGGAGCAAAAAAAATATTCATTATCTTTTAAAATAGAAATTGTTTTCAGAAAGAGAATAATTGTATTTTATGTTTTTCACTATGTTGAAAATATAAAATCATTTGATATTTTTTTTAGCCTTTTAAATACTTTTATCTACTAACAAAAACGAGAAATCATAAAACATTACAATGATTGTTATATACATATATTAAAAAAATAAAAATAAAGGAAAAGGATAATTTTATTTTATCAATATGAACTAAACTCATTTTTATGTTATTCATAATTTATATCACATATAAATGTAGCAATTCAATCATTAATTAAATTGTAAATATATACATTTTTTAAATATAATAATAATAATAATAATAATAATAATAATAATAATAATAATAATAATAATAATATATACATTAATTACTAAGATGTTTTAATGAAATTATAAAAAAATAGTATAATTCACTAATTCAGTTTGTTGTCAATCACAGTTTCATTATCGTTTTAAAATTTGAGAAAAGTTAAAAACACTCTTTTAAATATATCTTGAATATTTAATTAAAAAATTTATTAAAATCACAAAAAAAATGTCGTATAACCTTCACTTGCAATTTTATAATTTATAAAAATTCTAACTAATAATAAAGATATATTAAAAGAATGTTACTAACCTGCTTTTAAAAGTAGTTAATTACATTTTTTAATGTTATAAAAAACTTATAAACATATTACATTGATATAAAATAATATATGTAAACTCTTTCATACTGTATTAATTTTAATTACAGTAAATTTTCGTAATCTGATAATAAACATGTTATTAATATTATAATGTTGTAATTTTTCTCTAGATGCGTAGTAACTTTCAAACTTTACACTCATTACTTTACATACTAATGATGGTTTTCAAACCTTGTACCAATCATTATGGTTGATTCAATGAATGGCAATACATCAAAGCGTGGAGGTTTCTCCAATTTAACGTTGAATTCTTGCAATCCACTACCATAACAAAATATGAACCACATCAACCCTAAAAAAATGGATAAAAACACTATTTAAATGACGTTATTGGTGACACATTTGAGGTATCTTTGATCAACTTCTGACATCATATGAAACTTGAGAATGTTTAGGGTTTGGTAATTCTAATATCACTTTGACTGCTTCTACATTCAATAAATACTATTACGACGATGCTAGTAGAATTTGATTTGAATTGGAACACAACATAAACTAAAATATAGTTTTAAATAATTATATATATTAATCGACAAGCTTTTGGTACCTGTTTGACAAGAAAACAGCCAATGTCGGAAAGTCACTACTTCTGCCAACTATTTCAGAATGTAAATAAAATTTATTAATCAAAACCAAACTTAAATAGCACGTATAATTGATCATACCAAAGACTAAACGCAAAACCAAATAGAAATGTCTGGGCCAAAGTGTTTGTGTCTCCGTCACATGATTTAAAAAAAAATTGACAAATTTCAGAACAAATAAGTGTAGCTAAACGTGTAAAATTAGGGTTCTATGGAAAAAAAAGACATATCCCTAAAAAAAAAATTGATGTAGACTTTTGAATTCACGTCACTGGAATTAATACTACAATCATAGATAAAGTTATAGACATAAACAAGATAAATGTTCTTAGCGAGCGAAAGAAGATTGGTAAGACAGGAAGATAAAGTCAGTTGGTCGAATTTTGAATCAGTTTTGAAGATGATATCTGGAAAGTGTAGAGGTTTGTCTATAAAAGACACTTCGATACTCAAGTCAACTATTAGACAAAAGATTGATATATATGAGAATAAGTTATGAGATGAGATTACTCTCTAGTTAGATCCCTTTATAT